GAGAGAGAGAGAGAGAGAGAGAGAGAGAGAGAGAGAAAGAGAGAGGGGGGGAATCGGCTGTGTGAAAAAAACTGGCGAATAGACCTGCGTACACGTGGCCACCGAGTTCATGATTATTCGATGAGAAAGCAGGGCGAACGAGCGGAAAATTCTCCTCCAAAAACCTGTGTGACAGAAGAGTGAAGATAGTGTCCTAGCGGGGTGCGCACAACTTTGATGCAATCAATCAGGCTTTGGATGCTTACATCGATGCAGCAGCGGAAGATGCAGGGTCTGGCACGACTGAATAAATGTCATGTATATACACAAATGTCGTAAATCTCATTATTATACCAGTAGACACGATTACGAGATTTTAATCGTGACTGAAACGGTGTGGACATGAATCACTCTGTGCTGCCCAACGAACAACATGCTTGAGCTTAGATTACTTGTAGTGTTTGCAGAGCATGGAATAACTGAGAAGGGTTGGAATTCATATATGGATAATGGAAGCCTTTGGAGTTTGTCAAAATCCAACAATGACATGTCGATTAAAAAAGAAACGATATACCTGTAATAATCTGTTAGCACTTTCCCGCTTTTACTTTTAGACCCGAGTTCGATGTGAATATAATTAAAATAGGTCCATCATATTACTGCTATTACACCAACTACAGCTACAGCTATTAATTAGTATTACCACTCCACAACCATTAGCACTCATACATCCTCATGGTCGTACTACACTCACAATTCAGGAAGAACTGCACGCGTACATTGCTCTGTTTACAAGCAGGCGTTAAACATCATATACCTTCCTTTAGGATGTTAACAAGACACGATGACAACACTAATGACGTAAAACTGTCATTTAACCAGGTCCAGGTGTATTACTTCAACATTAGTCCATAATAAAAATATTGTTTGTTTGCCCTCACCCGACCGACCCGCCACAAAGGGGCCGACTCAAAAGATTGTATTGGTTTTTTTTTACAAATTGTATCACTCTACATTATATAAATCTGTAGGCAATACATTATATGTACCAAACAAAACAAACATTCAATATAAAAGCTATCTCCACACAAGCACACCCGAGCATGTAGACACCATGCTGAATTTGTAAAAAGACCCCTTAAAAAAAAACCTACCTACCTACCCAAACTTTTCAGCCTGGGTCGGGTGAGGGCAAACAAATATTCTTTTAATTTTAGCTTTACAAATATGAAAACCTGAGGCAGCTTTGCAGAATTACGTGCAATTACATATTATTGAATATGTAATGGCATGTAATTCTGCAAAGCTGCTTCAGGTTCTCATATTTGTAATCAGTAATGTAATAATATTTGCAAATTATCAACGAAGAAAGGATCAGCAGTAGTTCGATCGAGTGCCAGAAAGTACTATTAGGGCTAGTCCTAAGCGTAACCATAATTTTTCTGTCAGTACATTAATGTCATATCTTCCTCGTTTCACTCACGGCTAGTTACGAACAGAATCATTCATGTCACACGTCAACATAAATCGACTCTTGTGTTCTAAACATGCGAGTCTAAAGCAATATTTGCCCGATTACCCACTAATGTCTAAAATAACAACTAAGCCTGCCAATCGTATCACCTGATACGATTGTTTTTGCATGGCACACGATTAATGGTTGACCCATTCGAACTGTTAAATAGCAAAACAACAAAAGTAATGTTGACTAAGCAATGCTTTGTAAAATTATTTTGCTAGTTAAATATGTAATTTGTAAATGAACTCACTCTTCGGCCTCGACGCTTCGAAGTTTTGCCACGTAGTTAGATGGTATGTATCCTTCGCGCTTTGAAGATTTTGACCTCGCTAGCCACCAGTCGCCCTAACAAGATAAAATCAATGTGCACCTGATACACTGAGGCGTTACACTATTTTGACATGAAGCGTGCACTCTGCATAGTTTTCTCTCTAAATGCACACACAACTATACAAACTTTGATATGCGGTAGGTAGTGTGGAAATGTACTTGTATAATTATTATGCTACCACGTTTCGCAGTCTTATTATCATATGATTCAACACAAGGCTACTAACACAGATATGCAGTCAGATGTAAAAATCATTACGCAATATTCACAGGTCGAAAGGATCCATCTCATTCTCATGCTCACCAAGGATGTGTAGCGAATTTGATTATATTGTCCTAATATAACTTGTGAAATGATACTTTGAATTGTAACTCCCTTACACCACAGTAGACAGTACAGGTACAGTATGCCATCGATTAACCATAACCCTAACTCAACCCTATAACTAACCTAACTATAAAGCAATAGAAGTGCAAGTTTATGTACATGTAAGCACTCCATTAGCATAACCCCTGGCTTTGATGGTGAATGAGCAATTAACAGTCACAACAAACATAGCCAGATGTGTGCAACATGTGGTACTTAACTGTTGAAATGGAATTTAGCAACGACTGATTTGCAATTTGATTAAAGCAAGTTAAAAGCTGAAATTGGGTTGGAAGTGAAAAACTTTTTCAAGTTGTATAACATGTAGAAAACATTATATAAGCATTAAAATTCACATGAACATTGATACGGTATTCAGTGCACAGGAGTTGGTTGACACAGCTTTTGTTTCAGCCCTACTTTAGGGCACCATTACTGGAATTAAATCATCACCAGTTAATTTGATGGTAAACTACAGCTTACCCTTTAATAATAAGACGTGGATATTCGTCCGAGCATCGGACACCTGTTCGTATGCGCTATTCGTCCGAGCAGTTGTTGCGCATGCGCTGTTCATATTATATTACATAAATGTAATATAATGCTAGTCTAGGGAGGCATATACTACAGAACCAAGCCTAATTGACTCTAACCCTACCACTAATCCTACACATAAACCTAACCCTAACACTAACTACACACCGACTCGGTTCGCTTATATACGCGAGTGATAGGACCAAACACTATCTATGGTGTATAACCACATACGCAATGCATCAGGAGCTAATAGCTCCTGAACGAATGTATGCAGGGGCGTCACAGCCGTAGGGCTGCCGTAGCAAAACGCTACGGGCCCCCAGCCTAAAGGGCAAAAAATCATAAGTCTAAAGGATAAATAGCATTTTAGAGCGTCTAAATTTAAAAATTGTCTGGGGGGAGACCACCCAGACCTTCATACTTCCTACCTCCGACACTCGTGCCGTGCGCCTGCGGCATGCTACATGAACAGCGCATTTGCAACAACTGCTCGGACAAATAGCGCATACGAACAGGTGTCCGATGCTCGGACGAATATCCACGTCGTTAATAATACATCTACACCACTAAAATCAGTCATGACAATAGATTTAGAGATTCTAGATTTATCTTAGGTATATATCGCTTATTATTACTTAAAGCAAATTCTTCAAATTAAAGCACCCATAGAGGAACACATGAGAAAAATTTCTTGGCCCTTGAGCTGATCTCAAACTGCCTCAAACTGAACCTCAAAATTTGGTTCTAAGCAGACTACGACATGACCTTTCAAAAACAAAAAAAACCTTACCACGAACGCCCACCCATTGCAATTTGTATAACCCTAAACTAATCCTAATTCTAAGCACAGAAATATAATCTGCGGTCCTACAGTCGAACTGAACCGCCAACCAGAATAGCCAATAGCCAATTTACGGATAAAAACAATATAAAAATCACCTGTGTGTCATTCAGAATTTCTAGATTCTCGCCCTTCCTAAAGCTGAGATCTTCATCTGTCCTTGCTTCGTAATCATACAGAGCAACATAAATGCGCAGATTGCTGCCCGGCTGGCGTACGATCTCAGGCCGGTCGGAGTTGTTGCCTACGCTAACCGCAGAATTCATGCTCCCATTTCTATTTATCTGTGCGTGACCTATCGCATCGTGCACAGGAACAAGAGATTGCGTCTCCTGTGGCGCAAATGACAGACCACCGGTTGCTTGTGGATGATGAGTGATTGTCACTTGTCCTGGTCCCATTCCTAACTGGCCCAAACCTAGGCCTAGGTTGGGTTCGCCAGACAGGTTTGTCATGGCTTTTTGCGAGGACCTACGAGATGAGCGGCTGAAGCAGTTCCCCATGATGTGTTCTTTTCTTATACCACAGACGTAAGATATAGCTAACGAAATTCAGCATTCACATCAACAATAATCGGCCGTGAAAACTCCATCAGTGTAACGATTCATCAGCGTTTCGGGCTGATCACGAATCCATTACATATTCGTGTCTCACACAAAATGAAGCTGACTAACAACCACAAGAAGAGTGACGACTGCCGCGATGAAATGTAATCCATATAGGTTTTGTGCATTAATAGCGGATTTAATAAGACATCATTAATAATTAAGAATAAATGATATCATTAACATGTGCAGTCGGCGTATTATCTAATCGCGCAACTCTAATTACTACATTAAAAGCAGGAGAGATTTCTAAACAAACAGCGCAGTGATACACCATCCAAGAATTTCCGCTTCCGTAGTTGCCGGCACGTAAATGTTAAATGGACAGGCATTGGTTGAGGCGAGGAGCATGAACCAGTAACGAGCGCTGTTGCATGCGAAAATAGCCCCTAGCAATAACAGAGGTGCCCGGATGTTTTGGTTTCAGCTGATCGAGAAGGCGTGTTTTGTATGTTGTTGTTGTATGATCCAAGAAGAAGCTCGTACAACAATAACGGTACAGCGCAACATGCCAGCGGAGCATAGTTACGTGGTCAATTTAATACGCCAATAATATACTGAAATGCTTTCTGCAGGCAGCAATTTCAGAACCAAGTTATGCAGTGTTGTTTTGCAGGTACGCAGTCGAATCCACTGGCAGCAAGAACAAGTCCGCACCTGCAGCTACAGCACACACGCGGCTATTGTCATTGACTATATATACGGTCTATATATGGTCTACGGTACGGTCTACTATCGCTACAAGGGTATATATGTAACGGTTGTTATATATAGTCAATGGCCACGTGTGTGCTGTAGCTTCAGGTGCGGACTTGTTCTTGATGCCAGTGGTCGAATCCACCACACATCATATGTTGTACTGTAGAATCCACGATTTAGTAGAATGCACGATATCGAATCCACCACACAATCATATGTTGTAGTAGACCGAATAATTCTGTCCCATATAACCTTTTTTATATCTTGGTGAGGGTTATATTGGGACAGAACGGGGTTCATTCAAATTTCGAGAGATCGCATGCAAAATGCATGCGCTGAGAATGCGGCCCGTACGACGCTATTGGCGCGAAAAAAAACCTACCGTTCCCTTCTACATGGCTTTACCTTGCTACTGATATGTGTATACATTCACTTCAATCGTTATTCACTTCTTAAAAGATTGTTTTTCATAAACACTGCTTCGTTAAACTTTCCTAAATTACATCGCCATTTACAAACAATCAGACCAATCACAGCGAGTCTATCAGGCCTCCTGCAGCACCACAGATACAAGCGAGAACCAGGGGCTATTGTAAGACTCGCTCTGATTGGTCTGATTGTTTGTAAATGGCGATGTAATTTAGGAAAGTTGAACGAAGCGGTGTTTATGAAAAACAATCTTTTAAGAAGTGAATGTATACACATATCAGTAGCAAGGTAAAGCCATGTAGAAGGGAACGGTAGGTTTTTTTCCGCGCCAATAGAGGCGTACGGGCCGCATTCTCAGCGCATGCATTTTGCATGCGATCTCACGAAATTTCAATGAACCCCGTTCTGTCCCAATATAACCCTCACCAAAATATAAAAAAGGTTATATGGGACAGAATTATTCGGTCTACATTCTCAGCGCATGCATTTTGCATACGATCTCACGAAATTTCAATGAACCCCGTTCTGTCCCAATATAACCCTCACCAAAATATAAAAAAGGTTATATGGGACAGAATTATTCGGTCTAATGTTGTAGAATCCACGATTTAGTAGAATGCACGATATCGAATCCACCACACAATCATATACATCATTATCATGCGACACTAAATCAGTAAATGCATCATTCATGGAATGAATCCTAATACTAATGCGCATAAGGTCTATGTCCCCCAGGGTACTGCCGGAACGTACCCTGGGTACGGTCCGGTATACCGGAACATACCCTGGTCACTATTTGATATGGTTATAGGGTTAGGATTAGGGTTAGGGTTCGGGTTAGGGTTAGGGAGTAGGCATAGGCGACTCCCTAGACTCGTTAGTGGAGTAGGCGAGGTACGGTCCGGCATATTAGATAGTACCAGCTAGGGTACGTTCCGGTATTCCGGACTGTACCCAGGGTATGTTCCGGCAGTACCCCGGGGGACATAGACCCTCTCAGCAATACTAATCCTAATAATAAGTAATATACTAATACTAATAGCACTATGTAATAGCGTACGTTGCTATTACCTACAGCTAGTGCTATGCAGAGTTCGAAATTAAGGGGAGCGAGCAGCAGTTTTACTGTCTATTGCGGTCAGTTTATTGCCTGCAGTGCAAATATCATAGTTGCTGTCAAGGAATTTCTAATAAACCCATGTAATTGAATATGTCATATATGGCTATAACTATTCTAAACTTATATTTGTAGATTCACTAATCTGCATTACCTTACACTCTCCCAAGTTATTCTGGATTGTGGATATTAATGAGAACTAAAATACATATTTAATAGAATTTGTTAGTTTGACACAGATGTGAGAATAAGTTCAAAGGTCAATACAAGGTATGATACAAGTTATTGCAGTACCTGACTACATCGTGAATCTATATGGCTTACTGTAACTGTCAATATATTTCAGGGGTTAGACATATCAGTTTCATGTCGGAATATACAGAGACAACCGTTGCACCCAGAATGGGCAGAAATGGCAAAAAAGCAACTAAAAGGTAAAACCAATAGTTCACTGACTTTCAGTTTCAATGATGAAAAGTTATAGTTACTATACTATGAATTAACGTATGTATGCTTAGATATGTTCACGCCACTACTACACCAGAAATAATCGCAGGTCAGAGTACCAGAACTCCCTTTTGAGCTTAAATGTTGACCACCACCTTAATAATATGCAATTTGCATGCATGCAGTTATGTGTAAATTGCACATAAACATTGCATCCTGACCAGGTATATTATGTGCATGCATATGTTGCAGGAAAAGACCCAGAAAAGATTCTTACATGGGAAACTCCTGAAGGCATTCCCATCAAGCCGCTTTATACCAAGCAGTGCATTGCCGCTGCAGAGGAAGAGCTTCCGGGACAGTTCCCATACACCCGGGGTCCATACACAACTATGTATGCCCAGAAGCCATGGACTATAAGACAGGTGCATTTACATCACAGTTGCATTTGGAAATACCAATTGATTGTGTTCTACATACAATGTTAAAATGCACTATAACATTCAAATAATGTTTACTAGCATTTACCATCCTTCTGTCAGAAGTCTGATCCAATTAATTAAACAGCACCATCATTAGTGAAGAGGTAATGTTTACTTGTGTCAGGCAGTTGACATTGACAGATCATCTGAAGTTATTGAAATATGTAACGTACATGTTGTAAACAGAATATAACTGAAATGATGACAAGCTGCTGGTTTTTTAACTACTGCATATGTGTTCACTGGTTACACCTGATTATATTTTTGTAGTCGGCCATGTTCAGTACAGTGGAAGACACAAATAACTACTGCAAAGAAAGCATAAAGGCTGGTCAGAAAGGGCTTAGTGTTGCTTTTGATCTGGCGACACACCGAGGGTATGTGTAAAGAAATGTGGTGGTAACCATGGTAACCTCTGGCTCTTTATCATTAATATAACATCTCTAATGTATTCTACCAACGACGAATATATTATTTTCTTAGTGTCCTATCTTCTAAGATTGATGTCTGTAAATTAATAATTAAGCCAGACCTGCCATAACTAGACAATGTAGAAAGATACTCCAGAGCATTTACTATTACATGTAATTGTAAACAGTGTGCATGCAAGGTTTTATTTATAATAATAATAATAATAATAATAATTGCATAAGTAGCATAGATATAATGTTGTAGCATAGATAATGTTGTAGCATAGATAATGTTGTAGCATAGATAATGTTGTAGCATAGATAATGTTGTAGCATAGATAATGTTGTAGCATAGATAGTGTCGTAGCATAGATAATGTTGTAGCATAGATAATGTTGTAGCATAGATAATGTTGTAGCATAGATAATGTTGTAGCATAGATAATGTTGTAGCATAGATAATGTTGTAGCATAGATAATGTTGTAGCATAGATAATGTTGGGACTAGATATGCACATTCACTAATGAGTCATGCTATAATCTTCAGGTATGATTCTGACAATCCGCGCGTGTGCAACGATGTGGGAGTCGCTGGCGTCGCCATAGATACCGTGGAAGATATGAAGATCTTGTTTGATGGGATTAATCTTGGCGAGAGCTCCGTTTCGATGACAGTCAATGGTGCCGTGCTACCTGTCATGGCGATGTACATAACTGCAGGGGAAGAGCAGGTAGTTAGTTATACAAGTTTGCTTCAATTTGACATTCAGTGAGAGGTGATAAAAATGTGTGAGATAAAAGTGGCGAACGATGCTTCACGGGCCTTTCCTTTCAAGCTCAGGAATATGCGTCATAACATGATCAAGCCAGGCACGCTGCCCAGTGTTTCTCTCGGATGAAAAACGTTTTCAATTACTTAAGCACCTGTAATGATATTTTGAATAAATCTTCCCGTTATCTGTTTTGTATGCCACGTGTTATATGCTTCGTGGACCACTGGCTGTAGTGTAAAATAGCTGGTTAAAGGTAAAGTGATGTGTTTCCAGGGCGTAAAACAGGAAGATCTGAGGGGAACACTCCAGAATGACATCCTGAAGGAGTTTATGGTTAGGAGCAGCTACATCTACCCACCAGAGCCCTCTATGAGGATCATTGGTGACATTATTGCTTATACTGCAAAGGTTTGTACCATTACCGTCTCAGTGTGCATAGAAAATCCAGCAGAAAGATGTTTCGCATTGGGCTGTGGCTTAGAAAGATTAGACTGCCAGTTTTTTACACTGCTCATCATTGCTTTCCTGTAGCACATGGGCAAGTTTAATCCTATCTCGATCAGTGGCTATCACATGCAGGAGGCCGGAGCCGATGCCGTCCTGGAATTAGCTTTTACCATCGCCGACGGTTTAGAGTATTGCCGTGCTGGTAAGTTAATAGTCGAGTGGAATAAAGTAATTATTATACCTTGTTATTCAAGAATGTGAATGCTATGAAGGTCAGGTGATGAAGGTCAGGCTATGAAGGTCAGGTGATGAAGGTCAGGCTATGAAGGTCAGGTGATGATGCAGTAACCTCTATCTCCTTTCTCTTTTCTTTCTCTTCTTCTCTCTCTCTGTGTCTCTCTTTCACTCTCTTCGTGTATCCCTCTCTCTTTATTTCTCTTGCTCTCTCTCGGTTTCTCAGTCCCCCCTTTCTCCCTCTCTCTTATGCTGTCTCTCCTCCACTCTCTCGTATCTCTCTCTCTCACACACACACACACATACACTCTCTCTCTCTCGTACTATTCAGGATTGGATGCCGGACTGTCCATCGCTGTATTTCCGCCGACCCCGGCTGTCGTTCTTTCGTTTGGCGTTGGCATGAACTTCTACGTGGAGA